CTCGTGCTCGCCTTCTGACCTCCCAAGCAAACCAACGGCGTCGGTACGACCAACGACACCGCGATGTGCACTTTTCGCCCGGTTCGTTGGTTCTGCTGTGGTCTCCGACCAGGCACGTTGGCCTGTCTGACAAGCTGCTCTCTCGGTACACAGGGCCCTACAGAGTGCTTCGTGAGGTGACTCCCGTCACTTATGAAATCACTCCTGCTGCCTCGCCGTCTTCATCCACCCCTAGGGCCACCGACATCGTACACGTCGCACGCCTGAAGCAGTACCACTCGCCCAATGATCTTGACATCTAGATGCGCCGAGACGGCGCCTTTGCCGACGGGGGTTATGCTACCTGTAGGCTGCCACAAACCATAGTGCGAATGCGCGTGTGCGCCCGACGAGGAAGATGAGGCTCGCTGGCTGCTCGAGCTCGGAGCCAGACTGGCCAGTGCTGCAACCGCTCTTGCAAATATATTTTTCGAATATATTCGCAATACTTTGTCTCGTTACTCACGTAACAATATTATGGCAGTGATATGTAACATTATCTATAAGCGTGCAATGCATTGCAAGTGAGCGTGACATTTACAAGTAAAAGAGATAAAAATAGAATGATTGTCTCCTCAAGACTATTGAAGCCAAAGGCAGGTGCTTTGTCTAATGCAACTAGCACAACAACAACCTCTTTTCAAAAGTTGATTGATTGATTGATATGTGGGGTTTAACGTCCCAAAACCCCTATATGATTATGAGAGACGCCGTAGTGGAGGGCTCCGGAAATTTAGACCACCTGGGGTTCTTTAACGTGCACCCAAATCTGAGTACACGGGCCTACAACATTTCCGCCTCCATCGGAAATGCAGCCGCCGCAGCCGGGATTCGAACCCGCACCCTGCGGGTTAGCAGCCGAGTACCTTAGCCACTAGACCACCGCGGCGGGGCTCTTTTCAAAAGTTGTGCTACAGATTGCCTTGGTATATGACATGAAAGCTATGAGTGTCTTTTAAAAATGCAAACATCGAATGATGTTCAAAACCCAATTCCCTTGCTTATATGCATCAATAGATGAAATGGCACTTGTTTTCGGTAGACCAATGAGAATGTGGAGGACAGTGAGGGGTTTGCCACATTTATCACACAAAGGTGGATCGCCACTGGACAAAAGGTGCAAGTGTATACTGTGTGTATGTCCTGTTCTTAATCTAGCGAGTGTTACTTCTGTGTGGATGGACTTGGATGCAGAGGACCAATTCGCGAGATCTGGCTTCGTGAGATGAAGATTGTTCTGTGTTTGTTTGTTCCATAAATGCTGACAGTAATCTCTGAGCTTTCGTTTAGGAAATGTTTTTAGGTCAAGTGCAGGGACAGCTATGAATTTCTTGGCGGCAGCGTTTTTGTGGGCAGACGGAGCTAACTGGTCTACAAGCACGTTTTCTTGGATCTCTCAGTGCTCTGGAACCCAGCAAACTACACCATGCTGCCTGAGCATGTAAATTGTGCACAAGATTAAATACAGCTGAAAATTGACAGGATTTCTGGTTTTTCTTAAGGTTTTTAAAACTATTAACACACTCAGGGAATCAATGTACATTACAGCGTTCTGTAGTTTTAGTTGTGCAATGGGTTCCATGGCCACAAGTATTGCATAGTTTTTGCTGTGAAGACACTTGTATTAGAATGCAGAATGCCAACTGTTAAGGATAGAGGTTTTGATGGCAGGTACGGCGGGTTTCTTTATGGTAGTTGGCTCCCCGCCGTCGTTCGCATAGCCGATGCTCACCAGTGAGAAGACACGCTCTTAGAGATAGAACAAAGGTTTATTTACATGATGGAAAGATGGAACTGTACAGAGATTCAGCTCAAATTCTGCGACTATTTAGAAAGTGACTTCGGCTTTTATAGCCCACCAATTCCTGTACACGTCAGTCCGAAGAAAGCGTTGACCACTGTTGCCACGAATAAGGTGACGTGAAGTCTCAGTGGTCCACCCACAAGAAAGGGTGCAGAAATTGGGCCACTCGTGAGAAGAACGTGGGTGAGAATGTCCAACGGTTTTCACGAGCGCACCACACAATAACGCGCCTGGCCCACGCCTTGAAGGCAACGCAGAGCGAAAAGGTAGTGTCTGGTGGAGAAGGAAAGTTGAGCTCCTCCAAGGAGATGGCCGCTGACACGAACGTCAGCAGCGGTCCATGGCTGCTTTCAGCTACAGGCTTCCAGAACTCTCTCGAACATGGCAGTCCAAACGCTCGATTCATGAGAACGGCTACTTTCATGCCTTCCCACGCTTCCGAACTGTTGGAGCTTTACGACGACCTCGCGTAGGCGACAATAGCCGAGTTGAGAAGTTGGCTCCACGAGAACTGCCACAGTGGTGCCGTCTCATGCTGTTCGAACCCATTTAACAAATGGGTTGTTTGCGATGGTTCTGTCGAATTCCTCGTAACACGACCACAGCGAACTGCCTGGCCCACTTGCAGGAGGACAGCGTCATGCTTGGTGCTTCTGACTGGGCACCGATGGAGTTGAAAGCATTCTAGCAGACAGGCTCACGCACAATAACGTCTGCTGAGACGAACTGCCGTGGAGAACGTAACACAACATACTGCTGTGTATGACACAAAAGTGTGAGACTCTGAAGCATCTCTAAAGAATTCAGGACAAGTGTATTTGTGTTGCCATTCCAGGAAGTACATGTAGATATGAGCAGTAGGTGCGTGTTTCGCAACTTCCATGAAGGACAGTCTACGAACTGCCACTGCCATAGCGGGAGATTTGCAGCAGGGACCACAAGACTGTGTTCGAGAAATGGCACACTCATTTTATCAGCTAAGCCTTCCACACGAAACGCGTAAAGCTATTACACCAAAGAGCAGCTGTGATGAAGAGTACAGGTGGACAGATCATTGATTGCGGAGTCCATGGTGTTCCTTGTTTGTGTTCACCTTCACAAAATATGCAAAAAATAAGCAGGATGTTTGAACATGCAGCGACCATTCTTTTGATTCAACGTAGAGGCTCTCTACGAGGTTAGTGCCAAAAGTGCCTGTAGATGGGAGACAGGGCCAAAGTGCCAAAGTGCACACTTTTGGCCAAAGTGCACACTGATAGATCATTGCCTAGTAGTCTAGGGGAGTGCATGTGAGGCTTGTATATAAATTCATCAAACACTTCTCTTTCTACCCTACGTTTTGTGTGACAGCACTCTTAGAACATACATTGTTTTAAATGCGGAGCATTCCTCAGCGAGTCAGGCGACTTTGATCGTGTGTCTGTCTGTCCGTCCGTCCGTTCGTCCGTCCGTCCGTCCGCCCGCCCGCCCGCCCGTCCGTCCGCCCGCCCGCCCGCCCGCTTGCCCGCCCGCTTGCCCGCCCGCCCGCCCGCTCGCCTGCCTGCTTGCCTGCCTGCCTGCCTGCCTGCCCTGCCCTGCCTGCCCGCCTGTCTGTCTGCCCGTCTAGCTACCTACGACTTTTAGCTCTCCTGGCCATTTAGATAATGATATTGATACTAAAATTTGTAAAGCATAACAAGACTGTATGACGATAATAAGTGATTAGTCATAATATGAAAATCATTATATTTATGTCACGAATGTCATGGTTTACATTTCATATTCTTGCTACTTTTGCAGTGATTTTGTACACATGACATATTGCAAAACTGGCATGGTATGACATGACTGCATGGCGAACGTGACAGACCCTAACGTAGAAATCATGCCCTGCATGTTATGTAGGTCATGACTCATGGTGCTCTCGCGGTCGTTTCACTAGCTTCACATATACCAAGCTTGGTGTTAGGTGACGGGAATGGATGACGAAAGTATCTGACTGGTGCAAACATGACATGGGTGTTATGTAAGAACATGACAACGTAGCACGCTCATGATGCACTTCCGGCCATTTTGCTAGCTCCGCACACCAAACTTGCTATCACGTGATGTGAATAGACGAATATGACTGGTTCAAACATCATAATCATGAGATGCGTGTCATGTAAAACATGACTATATGCTACGCTAGTAGCGTGCTTGCGGTCATTTCGCTAGCTCCACAAACACCAAATTTGGTATCACGTGACGTGAATAGACTGTGAAGGTAAGTGGCACAACTAAACATGATATGCATGTCATAAAAACATGACTACATGCTATGCTCATGACATGGAAGTAATATATGGCATATTTTACATCGGCCTCGTAATGTCTGATTTTGAAGTGACATATCAACCTTCCTCATACATGCTTCGCATATCATCGAATCCCACCGTAGGTGGGATCTGCCAGTTTTTTATACACTTGTTTTGAAATACTTAATGTAAAATATGAATATTTAGTATCCAACATAAGGCCTAATAATTTATTGTTCATCTTAGCAGAGAGATGTTACTCTGCATCAGGATGATGGGTTCTTTTCGAAGAGAACAGGATGCATGCGCTCACACATTGAAAGGTCGCAGGATTTCAGACTGCCTTGTTCATCATTCACATATGTGCAATAAAACATATTTTGTGGGATCTCCCCAGAGGGGACCTCACCAATCTTACACACAGGGGATCTCAGCAGAAAACTATACAGCATTGTACAGGAAAAGAAGGACGTTCCGTGTTTCGAGAGGTAGGTTCTTCAACATTTCATATACTACACAATCAACCTGAGGCAGATTTATTGCAGCTGTTAAGCAATGTGTGTAGCTCAGGTAAACATAAAGGTTCATTGTATGCCTCGTGTTTTGTACATTTGTGCTCCAGTTTGTTTTTCTATTCTTGATTTGCATGTTGGAAGGCTTCGGCGTAGTGCAGTGAGCTGGACACCTGCTCGAAGTGTTAAAGTCATTGTTGAAGTCATCGCGCCATTCTACTTAAAACTTGCTCCCAGGCTTTTATTTTCCATGTAGAAAACTTCCGATCCACTAACCAGAAGCAATGCGCATTGTTTTCTTATACCTAGATTGTTTGTCTCACTTCCCAAACAATTTGCGCTTCCCGTTTCGTGCTACAAGGTGCTTACCCTGGGCCTACACCAGAACTACTGCAGGCCTCACAGCTCACATCAGGATTCACTGCAAATATCCACCATTTCATAAAATTACTTGTGCACCAAAACAAACACATAAAAATAATTGTAAAAGAAGCCAAATTTTAAGCAATAGTAAAGCTGATACATTAACGACTTTTCATATGCATAATTAAGTACACAATTGAACCCATCATGCACTGCTCCAGTCAGTAAGACCTTGCACTAAATGCACTGTTCGATTGTCACAGTGCATCGTGAAGCAATTTCAAGCTGTGCATTATTACTCTCATCTACAATCAAGAATCTTGCAATGTACAAGAGCATGCAATTGTTGGGTACACCTGATTTACACTATACATTGTTCCTAGCATGAGATTGCTACGTTACAGAAGGGAGCCTCTTTATGCCATGCAGCAGAAATCAACAAAATCAACCAGAGAAAAAAAGTTTATCCTCAAAGAAATACAAGAGAGAAAAAAGTTTATCCTCAAAGAAATACAAAACAATAAACAGTGCCTGCCTTAGTGGCTGGAACCAACAGTAGAGCTAGTGCATGATCTGGCATATTCTAAGTTCTTGCTAAGAATGCCAAGCTTTTGCTAGAGATGCAAACGTTTTGCTAAATAAAGGGAAGAAATTCTTGAGGGCTCGTTTCATTGTTTGACCCAATCTAATAAAGACCAGATGACAATGAAGCCAAGAAAGGTACAGGGAATGAATGTAATCTGTACTGTGTTAAGTGCAATAGTTGTAATACAGATGTCAGGAAGGTAAAAGTGGACACTCCACCGCAGTGTTCCAGTGGCTAAGGTACTGTTCGATTCGGCTGCTCATCCGCAGGTCGCGAGATCGAATCCCGGCTTCGGCGGCTGCATTTTCGATGGAGGCAAAAATGGTGTAGGGTGTGCTCAGATTTGGGCGCACGTTAAAGAACCCCAGGTGGTCGACATTCACGGAGCCCTCCACTACAATGCCTCTCATAATCATATGGGTTTTGGGACGGTAAACCCCACATATCAATCAATCGAGTAAAAGTGGACGAAAAGACAACCTGCCAATGACAGGGACGGAACCTCCAACATTTGAATTCTACGCCCGATGTTAATGCTGCTACAAGCTAGTAACACTGAGCGTGTTTAGGCTTGGCTATCTTTCTCCAGTTTCGGTCGGTTCCTCACACTATGCATGTGTCATGTGCAAGGGAATCTACAACTGGGCTAATTGGTTAAAATGCATGGTTAAACTGATGCATGTGCACACATACTAAAACACTTCACAAATCATGGTGTCAGCTGAGTGCCAGAACTATGTTCAAAGTTTGCCCATACCAACTGTGGTGCTTGTTGTCAAGTGGCCTGAAACTGGCGAAAGGTGGCCCTGCATTCTCATAGACTAGACGAGGCCGATCAGCAGCAAAATGATACTCGTAGTTGACACCTGCACGAAATGGCTCGAAGCCATAACTCTGTCGCGTGCTTCAACCGAAACCACAATTCATTGTTCGTGTGGCATTTTAAGCAGGTTTAGGATAGCATGCCCAATTGTTGCCCTTCTCGGAGACTACCAGTTCGAGCAGGCACTCATAATTATGTGTCTTGCCGGTGAACAAGGCTATCTTTTACATACTCGCTTCCCTCTTTGTATCATGCCACTTTTCCTTAACCAAACCACAGCTCAGAAACCGGCCCTGCTCCCCTGCTCGCACCTGAGCGGGCCAGATACTATGCAGACTTCATTCTCTCAGCCTTCCCTTTAAATATTTGGCCCTGCGGCCATGTCTGCTCTGGGTGTCGAGTTGGCCTTATGTATGACATGCAATGGTGCAAAATATGCAATTCAGTTTTCATAAACTTCAGTAGGTGTGCACGAGCTATGTGAGTATGTACATCATATATATTCGTTTCAAATATTATCCTGCATATTTCTTCACTTGAAGAGTTGCAAAACTAGTTAAATTGGCCCGTAGTACTGTAAATGGAGCATTTGAAAGAGATGCATTTATCCCATATTCGACTGAAATTCTATAACATCAGCCACTGGCTTCTAACGACACTCGCATTAACACACAGAAATATTTTGACAGCAAAATGCATGGCAGCACTAAAAAACGCGAACAACGAACAGATGTGCGCAGGACGGGCACAATCTTCCAACAAGAAAACTTTGCGCCTGTCCTGTGAGCGTCTTGTTCTTGTCGGTCTTTTTTAGTGCAGTCATGCATTTTGTTCCAAGTATACACCGACTAGCCCAAATGAAGGCATTACTCCATCATATTTTCTATTGTATTCAGAAGTTTATTCAGACAGTCATGGTCTGAGATGAAGGGGCTAAAGGCAGATGCAACTGTCTGACAAAGGCCCCCCTACCCATACATTGCTCAGGGGTGGAATATTTTGGGAGGTGTTCCTCAACAAACCATGAGAATTGCAAGGACCACAACAATATCCACTACATTGATACTGATGTCATGGAGGCATTCTAAATTTTTCCCTTCTTCAGCATTCTCATTCCACGACAATTTTCATATCCTGCAGACATCCCTCACGCAAATGCATGATGGACTACAAGGCAATACGTACCACTGTGAAAGGAAGTTTTCCCCCCTTATGTGCACGGTCTCGCAAGCTATGCACCTACTGGCTCAACAGCAGGCTCTGCTAGAAGTGCACGAAGGCATTATTGCAATGCTTAAGGTATGAGGTCAAGTGAAAAATGTGAATTATTTCTCAGAATGTCGTTTACTGCTTTTTGGTTACATTATTTGTTTTATTCGCTTGCTGTTTTTTCCTTAGTTGCCAATCTTTGTTCTATATTTTTATACATGAATTCACAGGAGGTCCCCCTGACAGTTTTTACTTTGGGACCTCTTTCTGTATTATATCAACATTTTACTTGCACTGTATTGTACTGAATAAAGAATAAAGAACCGCAAAGGGCAAAAAAAAAAAAGCCCAATTTATTGCCCGTCATTTTGCTGCATAAAGCTTCTGCTTCCGCAGTTTTTCTCCAAAGGTACAAGTAAAAATGTTCAACCACCCATCACCTACGAAACCGAAACTGTAAGTGTAATTTTTGTGTCAATCACAAAATTAGCTTGATAAATATTATTTTGTAGGTTATTTAGCACTAATATCAACAGGGAAAATGTAATAATGCTTTAATAGTGCTGTAAACACATCATTTTTGGTCATAAAAGTCATATTCTTTTTGACAAGTGAATGCATAACGCAATACATGTGTTTTTTATGCTCGAGAACACCTACATGAGCCTGTAAACTATCGAATTTGCTTTGCTTGATGATGTGCATGGTTTTAATGAAGGCAACAGAAGCACATTTGATATTTTTAAGCGACTTGGCATTGAGCCGGAACCCTACACTAAAAAAGCAGCATGCCTAAAGAATGATCAGCACCTCGTCAGTGCGAGCACCTCGTCATATCACTGTTTTTGTGAAACAAGCTCAAAAAAAAATTAGCGTTGCCGCTAGATAAGAGGCACACAATATAAGGTCAATGATGAAACTGGCTACAAAGATTGAGAATTTTAGCCCTCCCGAGTGTCTTGTGCAAGCATGCACCTGTTTCAAATCTTTTTTGTCGATTTTCTCAAAACATATTTCTGACACTTTTCCGTATGCAAAAAGTCGTAGCTCTTTTGCTAATCAACATATTTCATTAAAACTTGGCACACTTCCTTATCACATTATTAGGCGTGCGATGAACCTCAATGAGCGAAATCGTACCACAAGATTTACTATGGCTGCTGGTTATACAAAGGTGCCACCAGTGTTAGCGCATACTTTTTGGTTATTTAATTACTATGTTTTTACCATTCACAAGATCTCATTTGTTTTGGGTTATTTTACAGGCCAAAGTTTTTTGTATGTGCCGGCAAAAAAAAAAAAAAAGAAACTTTTTAATGAGCAGGACTTGAGTTAGGACAGTTCGTGCAAAGCATACTTTTAATAAAATATTTAAATATGAAAAATTAACATAAAGTATGTCTTATTTTATAATACTCGCAAGTACCTAAAAATATGTGCTTTATATTACAGACTAACATTTTCTAGTGATTATCGCTTTAAAAAAAATTTCTGTCACTTGGCCTCATACTTTAATTAAACGTTAACAGCAAAAAGGTGCACCTGACAGTGCTCACTCCTAATACGGCCATATTTCCACCTCGCAAAATGGACAGTGAGAAATATTGTTACAAGCTGATCACTCATATTGCCTAATGGGCCTTTTCCTCCACTGTCGCAACAGACTGCTGCAAAAGTGCTCAGCTTTAATGTGAATCGTGGCAAGCGTCTCACCTTGACCTGAGTTCTGGTCTGTGGACAGCCATTCCATTCTACACATGGCCCGATATGTCGAGCTTCCCCAATACTGAAAAACAAAAATAAGCATACATGTGGTGCATCAATCACAGCTCTTTATCGTGTATAATAATAGTAATTCAATTGGGGACTACTATACAGTTGAACCACTTTATAAAAGACTGATAGAAAAGTCAAATGGGTATAAGAGACACCAGTGTGTCTATAGTAAAATACAGTTAGATAAGAAAATGCCTACATGGTTCCCTGTTTATAAGAGAGATCTCATACAAGAGACAAGAATTGCTGCCCAGAGCGTGCCTCTTATAAAGGGGTTAAAATGTACAGATACAAAGAGGGGTCTCATAGCCAACAGACTGCACAAGGGACTGACTACCCATAAGAAATGAAAGTTCAAAGGAGTTAAAAGTAAACAAACTTAACACTGTAATAAAATAATCAGTAACACTGTACAATGTTTAGATTACAAAAAAATGGTTAAGAAAATGGTCACGATAATGAAAAGATCATGCTGTGTGAAAATAATTATGGTTTTTATTCGAATAAATCCAAATTAGAGACACTGCTGAGAAACAATGCTCTTAATAAGTGGCATCATCTATACACTTTATGGTGCACAGGGGGGATATTAGGCCCTGTCCCCTGATTTTGAAAGCAGCACAAAGAAGTAAAAAGCACTAGAACAAGCACAGTTTAAGCCCTTTATAAGAGACACCAGTGTGCTGGACAAAAGTAGGGGTTGATAAAATGCATCTCTCTCCTAAACTGTAGTGAAAATGTTCTGTGTGTTAGAGCTTGTTTTGCTGCCTGCAGCCCCGCACATTCATTTAATTCATGACAACCTTAAGAACTCTCGAAAGGCAGAGGTAGATACAGGCAATTGCATAAGTTGCACTAACTTTCAATAATGATAAAGCAACTTTTCAGTACAATCTCTATTTACGTGTACATATTTTTCACATACACCTGAACAACTTTTTTATGCCCTCTAAGAGATAATATAATTGTTGGGGCTTAAGGTTCCAAAACCACCATATTGTCACATGTAACACGCAGCATACTGGAGAAGGTGTCGCGGAACAAGTATCGACGCCTTTACTCTCTCAAGGAATTTCTATTGCCAGAAGTCTCGTCAGTGTAGTGCCTGGGCAAGCAGAGGTCCTGTTGACGAACTTCAGCAACGAGCGTCGACACATTACAGAGGGTACGACAGTTGCATACTTTGTTGCATACTTCGAAGAAATTGTAGAATTTCGTGAGTGCTTCGCAGTGCTACAGGCAGAGACGCCGGCTGCTTCAACACCACTACCTGTCAACGTGAGCACAAATTTATCGCCAGCGCAGAGGCAGAGTCTTCTAGATGTTCTCGGCCAGTTCGAATATTGTTTTTCATCGACCTTGAGGGTAAATCAAACGCTACTGACAAAGCACCGAATTATAACGGAAGAGAGGGCAAGACCAATTCGACAAAACCCATACCGCATGGCACCGAAAGAATGCGAAGCAATCCAAGAACAAGTTCAGAAAATGCTCGATGATGACATCATTTAGTCATCAAAAAGCCCTTGGGCATCGATAGTGCTAGTTAAGAAGAAACACGGCAGCTTACGCTTCTGTGTGGACATCCGCAAGCTGAACCGTGTGACAAAGAAAGACTTATACCCATTACCGCGTATTGACGATTCGCTTGACAGGCTGAGGCATGCACGCTTCTTCTCGTCGATGGACCTGAAAAGCGGATATTGGCAAATCGAGGTCGATGAGTGGGACAGACAAAAGACTGCTTTTGTTACGCCTGACGAGCTTTACGAGTTTAAAGTCCTGCGCTATTGATTGTGCTCAGCCCCAGCAACATTTCAGAGACTGATGGATACTGTCCTATAAGGCCTTAAGTGGCAAGCGTGTCTGGTATACCTCGACGACGTCATTTTTTTCTCAACAACATTCGAGGAAGATCTAAGACGGCTGCTATTAGTATTTCCAGCAATACGGTCCGCTGGCTTAATGCTAAAACCTGAGAAATGTCATTTCGGTTTCAAGGAACTCTGATTCTTAGGACGTGTGGTGAGCCATGAAGGTATTCTTCTGAACCCCGACAAGATCGGCACCGTCCAAAAATTTTTGGTGCCAACAAATAAGAAGGCTGTGAGACACATTCTTGGCCTTTGCGCCACAGCCGACTACCGCAGATTTATTGCCAATTTCTTGCATATAGCGTCGCCCTTAACACGCATAACGAGAGACGATATTCCATTTTTATGGGGCGAGGAGGAACAAGCAGCATTTGACGGTCTATGACAGCGCCTGCAGACACCACCTGTGCTTGCTCACTTTGACGAGGATGCTCCAACCACGATCCACACCGATGCCAGCAACGTAGGTTTAGACGCTGTACTCGTCCAGTGGCAAGACTCAGCCGAGCAAGTGATTGCATATGCAAGCAGGACGCTTTCTTGTGCCAAATACCATTATTCTAAAACGGAAAAGGAATGTCTTGCTGTAGTATGGACAGTTATGAAGTTTCGCCTATACCTCTACGGCCGTCCCTTCCACGTAGTCAGCGACCACCACTCCCTTTGCTGGCTAACCAACTTGAAGAACCCACCTGGTCGGCTAGCGCGCTGAAGTTTACGCCTACAAGAATTCGATATGACGGTTGTCTATAAGTCGGGACAGCAGCACTCTAATGCTGATTGCTTATCAAGGTCACCTATAAATCAAGACGATGTCTCAGAAGAGGATGACATGGCGTTTTTAGGAGTGGTCGACACGGTCACCATTTCGTCTAAGCAGAAAGAAGACAGCGAGTTGATTCCTCTTATCAATTTTTTAACAGCCAGTCTACAAGCGTTCCCAAGATATTTACAAGGAGCCTGCCATCATTCTGCTTGCGCAGTGGTGTCCTATACAAGAACTTTCCCCCAGCGGAAATGCCCACTTACTTGTCGTCCCGACATTAATTCGCGATAAGATCCTGAGCGCTTGCCACGATGAGCCAACCTCCGGCCACCTCGAATACACGCGCACATTGGCCAGAATCTAACAGAAGTACTACTGGCCGAAGCTTCCAGGCAGTGTAAAGCATTACGTCCGCTCCGCACGTGCCTCGATTGTCAATGACGAAAATCGCCACCTTTAAAACGAGCCGATTGTTGCAACCAGTTCAAGTGCCCACTATGCCTTTTGCACAAATCGGAATGGACCTCCTTGGACCATTTCCGACTTCGCATACTGGAAACAAATGAGTAATAGTCGCTACCGACTATCTTACTTGCTACGCAGAAACAAAGGCTTTATCAAGCGAAACCGCAGTATAAGCGGCACAATTTTTCATTGAAAATATTGTTACAGTGCATCATCGACAGGAGCAAGCGTGGCACTTAGCAAAGATGAAGAAGACGGCTGTGCGTTAGGCGCTTGCGCGAGAGGCAACTCAGACATCTTGTTCGGCTGCGGATTCTCGGTGGACGCTATCCTGTAAGCCTAGACCTCGCCCCGTCACATTTGGTGGAAGTGCTGGGCAACCGCCTCGCAACGGAACTTCGCAGCGGCCGACGTTTGAAGGGTCATTCCACAACGATGACGGAGAGTACGGCGTCTGCATCTGCTCCTGGTGTTCCTGCGGCCGGAGATGATGCGGTAACTACATCTCCTTCTGCGACCACAACCTTCGTGCTCGGACCTCCGCGGGATCCTGGCATGTTCAGCGGTTCCGGCGATCCAGATGAAGTTGACGTCGAAGATTGGCTGGCCGAGTACGAACGTGTGAGTACTCGATATTGATGGGGCCCGACACTTATGCTGGCAAACCTGTTATTCTATCTTAGGGGAACCGCCAAATCGTGGTATGAGAACCATGAAACAGAACTTGGGAGTTGGGCAGTGTGCAGGGAGAAAATGTTGGACCTGTTCGGAAAGCCGGAAGAAAAATGGCCGCGAACAAAATGCTCGCGTCTCGGGCGCAGACCTCGACCGAGTCTTACGTCTCCTATATAGAAGATGTGTTATCGTTGTGTCGCAAAGCCAATGCCGAGATGCCGGAGGCTGACAAGGTCGGACATATTCTTAAGGGGGATCGCGGATGACGCATTCAACCTCCTCATCTGCAAAAATTTTTCTACAGTGGACGCCATTATAAAAGAATGTCAGCGCTTTGAGCAAGCGAAGAGCCGGCGGATTAACAGCGTGTTTACCCGCCTTCCAAATACGGCTGCAACATCATCTTGCAAAGACCGCGCAAGAACACAGCCACTACCTCTAGATTCATCGGATCAGGTGACCCGAATTGTACGGCGCAAACTTGAAGCCATTGCCTCTGCTCCGGCTCACACTGCTGCAAGTGACACCACCCCACTCACTGCTAACATGGTTCAAGCCATCGTCCGCCAAGAACTCGCCAGCATAGATATTCCCTCGGTGTGCACTTTGCCCAGCCCGCAGCGAGCTTCATGGTGTCCACCCTCGTCCTACCACGAGCAGCAGTTTACGGCCCGATCTCGCGACCTTGCTGTGTGGAGAACCGTCGACAATCGACCAATTTGTTTTCATTGCCACCGTATCGGTCATGTCGTCCGTTACTGCAATTACCGCTGGTCCTCGTCACCTCGAACTTCATCCCAACCTCACCAGCGACAGGACAGCACCCGCTTCGCGTCTGCCGCGCAGCCTTCTCCGCCAAACAACTACAGAAGGTTCAACAGCCGGTCTCCGTCACCGCATGGTCGTCAGTCGCGTTCGCCTCCAGGCCATCGCCAGTCGTCTCGCTCACCGCAGACTCACAGGCCGTCGTCCCCATTCAACCCCGCTTCTGCCTACCCAGAAAACTAAACGGTGCAGCGCCCGGAGGTGACGCTGCATTTTCGACTCCCTCCACAAATCCTCTCTTGACGCTTCCAACGAGACAAAATTTGTTAGACGTTGACGGTGTGGCTATTTCTGCCCTTATAGATACTGGAGCGCACATTTCTGTAATGAGCGCGAACCTTCGCCGACGCCTACATAAAGTGCTCACGCCTGCCGCTTCCCACAAACTTCGTGTCGCTGATGGGA